TAAATGAAGCACAGAAATGCATCTCGGACTTCTTCATTTCCTGGCTCGGTGGCCTCAGAGAGTTTATTCCTTGTGCGTCCTGATGCATTTTACAAGGAGCCACAAAACCAAGGGCTATAGCAGAAGGCCACTTAGCTGCAAATCAGAGAAAGGACTGCTCAAGCTCTATAGACAGTAGTGTGAATGCCTCTTTCCCCAGGCCTGGAAGCGCAAGGTGGGTCGGGATTTGTGGGTGAGACGATTCCGTGGCAGAGCAAAATCATTGAGAATCTAATTTCCTTCTGTCTCTGCATCCTGCCTTTGAACAGGATCGGCTGGCCTCCCAAGGGGCTCCCATCTTGGCTGCAAGCTGTTTGCCAGCTGCCTTCGGGGCTCCAGGGTTCCTAGTCACGTGTCTAAAGGACAGAAAGGGTGTTACTTCCAGACGCCTTCTAGATAGAACGCGGAGCCTCCCTTCCCAAGCATGTCCAAGCCTCTGCCAAATCATTGCCCCTGAACTGGTCACATACTCAGCCCTTCATGTCTTAGTTCTGCATCTGTGTACTCAACCAATGGTGCGTGGATCCAGAGTATCAAAAACATACATCTGTACTTAACACGTACAGTAGGTTTCTTATCACTCCCTAACCAGTGGAATATTGCAGATGTTTAAAAGTAGCATTTGAGGCCTGCGGTGCGGTGCAGCAGGTTAAGCTGCTGCCTGCAACACTGGCATCCTGTATGAGCACCAGTCTGAGTCCAAAGAAGCTCCCTGCTAATGTGCCTGGGAGGGAGCACTTGGGCCCCCTTCACTCACGTAGAAGAGGCAGATGTAGTTCCAGGCTCTTGGCTTTGGCCTATCCTCTCTCTCTCTCATTCTCCCTACTCTGTAACTCTGCCTTTCAAATAATTAAATAAGCCTTCAAAAATTAAAAATAATAGCCAGCGCTGCGGCTCAGTAGGCTAATCCTCCGCCTGCGGCGCAGGCACACCGGTCCCGGTTGGGGCGCCGGATTCTGTCCCGGTTGCCTCTCTTCCTGTCCAGCTCTCTGCTGTGGCCCGGGAGGGCAGTGGAGGATGGCCCAGGTCCTTGGGCCCTGCACCCGCATGGGAGACCAGGAGGAAGCACCTGGCTCCTGGCTTCTGATCAGTGCAGCGTGCTGGCTGCAACATGCTGGCCATAGCGGCCACTTAGGGGGTGAACCAACGGAAGGAAGACCTTTCTGCCTCTCTCTCTCTCTCTCTCTCTCTCACTCTCTCACTGTCTAACTCTGCCTGTCAAAAAAAATTAAAAATAATAAAAGTAAAACAGCATTTGCATTGTATTAGATATTATAAGTAATACAGAGATGACAAAGTGTAGGGAGAGTGCATGGTAATGTGTGCCTTGGACATCATTTTACAGAAAGGGCTGGAGCATCTGCAGGTTTCATCCCCCACAGATTCCCAGGGCTAACTCAGTGGTTGACCTAGACCAACACCTGTGAACCAGGGGAGGGCACCGAGTGCGGTTCCTTCCGAGATCCCGGCCTGCTCATTAAATCCGACGGAGTCAGGAGTCGTCTCCTCCAAAGGCATCCGTGTTGATCCCCGGTGGTCCCCGCAGACGTGATCAAGGAGGGAGCATGCCAAGAGGGTGAAGCAGCAAAGCCCCCTGACTTCCTGCCGTGGCTCTTCACACGTGCTGAGCTTAGTCAGCATGCACAAGCCTGGGCTGACACCCGCAATGCCCATCCTGTAGACCCAGGGTGACTCTGTCATGCGTGACAGGACTACACTTAGGTTACTCAGACGCGTTTCCTTACCGACGGTTCTCCTCATGCCACCATCACGTCACTACATCCTTCTAAAGGCTCACTGCACAACTGCACAGTTATGTTAGCTTGTTTACTTGCTTTTTGTTAGGCGCATGTGCCTTTAAATTTTTTTAAAAAAATTATTTTCATCTACTTCAAAGAGTTTGCGTGAGAGAGAAATGGCTCACTGGTTCGTGCCCACTGAAACCCATGCTGGGTCTCCCACGTGGTTGGCAGGGATCCAAGTACTTGAGCCATCGCTTGCTGCCTCCAAGGTGGCATTAGCAGAAAGCTGATTCAGCAGTGAGGAGCCTGGACTTGAATCTGCACCCTAATATGGGAAGAGGGTGTGCCAAGTGGTGGCTTCTCCCACTGTAGCACAATCCCTGCCTCACAAACGTGTTTTAATGTCCAAATTAGAGGGGCCTGCTTGTGGCAGACAATCCCATGATTTTTCCAGTACTGATTTAGTGGCTTCCAAGAAGCAGATAGGAAGACGAAGGCTCATTTGGCGGGGCGACAGCCCCTTCTGTAATACTCGTTGCACTGAAATGGCACTAACTAGGCTGCAAGTGCCCACTTTGAGGTTGACTACCCTGGGCTCCAGTTGCCACCTGTTGACAGTTCGCAAGGCTGCGTTCCATAATACAGTTAGCCGCCCCGGCTGTCTTTGCCAGGGGGAGAGCTAGGACAGTGAATTACCACCAGTGCAAGCTGGCACCACGGAGCAGATGTTGCATGGGCGGAGAACTCTGCACCGCTGTGTAGCTGCAGGTGCCAGCGCTGTTCATTTGGGACAACGATGCTTTCAGGTGTTGTAAGGCCAGGTGTAGGCCAGGGTACTGCTTGCAAAGCAGGGGTTGATTCTCTAAGGTTCTAAGTACCGTGACTCCTGTAATTTTGGAATTGCCATTATTTCCGTGGTCTCTAGATCCTTCCTAAAACTCCTCACGTATGGTATATGATGGGGGAATTAAATCTTCACACTTCCATTCTCTTCTCTTTAAACATCACTTCCTTAGGGTGCTTGCTCTCTTTCTCTACGTAGTCAGCATCTCACCTGCCTCTTCCCATCCTTGGATCACAGGAAACATGAAGCAGTTTCCAGGAAAGAACTCTGTTGTGAAGGGATTTCTGCCCCGCCGAGCTTGCCTGAGTTTTCTTTTTTCCTTATGCGTAAGACAACTAACAGCATCAGAGATTTGGCCAGCCCTCCTCTGTGATCTGACACCTGTAGGCAGCACTGGCTAAATTTCAGTAACCTCTTTGTTAGCTTCCTTTTGCCCTTTCTGTGTAAGTAGAGAGAATCTGTGCTTTGTGAGACAGTAATGCATCGTAGGAGTTTGGATTTAAAGTCACTCTGACATGAGCTCAAATTCGAACTGACCTGAGACCACTCTGAGCCCCTGTGTCATCCTCTGTACATTCAGAGTAATTCTGTCTCATCCTTTGCTTTGTAAATTGAATGATTTCAGACACGTCCAGTGCCTGCACAGAGCGTGTGCGGCTGTCTTTTTCCATTTGGACCTCCAGAGTTTGTTTACACATGACCCATCCAAGTCAGCATTGCTGCGAGCCCCTGCGATCTTTCCCTAAAAGGGAATTCCTGGAAGCTCCCTGCAATTCTCCTCCTTGAACGTGTTACGATCCATTTTGGACACGATAAAGCAGCAAGCAGCTTTTAAATATTTATGTTCCCCAAGCCACACATGCCAACTGTGTTTGCTCTCTTCATTTCCTTACGTGCCAAGGAGACAAGCCAAACAGTGTGAGAGGGAAATATTGTCAGGACACAATGTAGGCTTGTCTGGTGTGTGCTCTGTGCGGTTGCAACCTGAACAGCAGAGAGCGGAGGCCACTCCCTGGCTGCACGCTGAGACTGTGGTGAAGGAACCAGCTAGAAACAGAGTTCCTTTCTAAGCACCTTAGCCGAGGGGATTTTTACTTTAAAACATCACGAATCAAGTGAAATGGGACTGGCTAGTGCCGTATGATTCAACAGTCATAGTCCGGGTGAACTGCACTGTGCACGGATAAGAGACAGCTCCTCCCAGGGCTTGTCTGCAGCTGTCAGGTGAACAGGCAAGCTGTGGGCGGAACTGTGAAGTTTCCAGATAAACCCTTTTTCAGTCCCGTGTGCGTCATGCTGCATGCCTCACATACACACAGCAGTGGGTGAGTGCCCGAGGGGTCTCGCTGCCCTTCAGCATTTCTATGCTTCAGAACAGGAGTCAACACAGTTTAGAGAGTCAGAGTTCACATTAACTTATAGGGGTATTGCCCGGTAATATCAACCCTGGCTACAAGCTAGTATCATTTGAAGAGATGGTGACTTAATTGGCTTGAGGTACAGCCTAGAGTTGGGCACCGTAAGGTACCTCAGGGGTTGTGAACCATTGCTGTGGGATAGCATTGTGTTTTCAATTATGGCTTCCCCTTTTGTAATCGTCACGTTTATACCTGTGAGGGCTGAAGAACAGTTGAGTCCAAGACCCTGGGGTTACCCTGTACACATGGGTCCCTGTGTCCTACCACAGAGTCGTCACTGCTGTGTTGTGTGTGCATGTGTATGTGTGTGTCTGTGTGCTGGGGAAGTGGGGAGGGAGAGGGAAGAGAGCTAGGAGGAGAATAGGGGAGGGGGAGAGGGAGGGGGAGGGCCAATATTCAACAGTAGCAAAAACCCAGAGTGATTCAGTGTCACCCTGAGATTTAATAACCCCTGTCTCATGGAACAAGTGATTGACCACCGATACCTTTTGATTTTTCTTTGTTAATGGAAGAGCAATGATTTTCATCTAATTTATATTTTAAAACAAACTATTTATAGTAATTTTCAAGAAATAAGATCGATCCTGTTTTTAAAGGGAGAAAACAGTAAAATTCAGGAATGATTATTCTGTTCTGATAAATTACTGTATTTTAAAGTATAGGAGTACATGAATTTATATGTATGTATGTATATATATATATACATATATATATATATATATATGGTCAACAACCTGTCATTAGATAGTGACAGATTTCTAATGTGTACACAAAATTACAAGTAAGGTGCTTGTACGCATTGTTTGGAAATGTGAAATATATTTCTGCTCACTTCAATCTTTCTCTTTCTCTCCCTCTCCTCCTCCTCTTTCTTGTCCCTTCGTCTCCCCTTCTCTCCCCCACTTCTCCTCCATCTCCCTCTCCTCCTTCTTCATTACCTCTTTTCCCCTTTCACAGCATCAGATGAAGAAGAGCCAACTTCAGCAGGTAAAGTTCCCATGTCGTAAAGATTATTGCTTTTCAATTTAATGCCTTTAATAATGGAGATTCAGCTCTGTGAATTTAAACCAGAAAGCTGGCACCGTTTTATTTATCTTGTTTTGTTGCTTGGTCTTACTATGCTGTGTCTAACCTGATGATGTTGGTTAAGTGTTTGGAATGAAAAAAGAAATAATCGAAGTTAAATTGTATGTGTCCATTTCCCATTGCTGTAAGAGAATGCCTGAGATTGAGTCCTTTATAAAGAAAAGAGGTTGATTTAGCTATAAGTTTGGGAGGCTGAAAGTTCAACCAGCAGGGCCCTGGCTTCAGCAAGGACCCCTGGGCTGCTTCACATCACAGCAGGTGGAATCTTGACTGCAGCAATGCAGATCACGTGATGAGACAGCAATCCAGAGAGTGGAGGAGCTGGCCTTCCGCGTCTGTACACCCTCTTGTGAGTGCTCACCAGGGTCCCACAGGAACCCCGAGTCCCTCCTGTGTGCCCAGTGACTCAAGGACCTGCCACTAAGCTCCACCTCTGGAAGGTCCCACACCTGTCTGCATCACCATGCTGAGGACCAGGATTGCAACACACAAACCACTGGGGCACCATCTCAAGTCACATCCAAACCATAGCAGAACCCACCACACTATTCACAATGGACCATCAGTGTGGAAGAATAAAGAGAACGAGAACACTAAGAGGAATGTAGAAAATGAATACAAAGGTGAGAATGATAAAGGAAGAACAGACAAAGAGGAAAGCCATCAAACAACTGTTTAGAAATAAAACCCTGTATATTGGAGGGCCATTTTGTCATGTAAAATTGGCATCTAAGGTGATATTCAATGTGAAGGTAAGAGTTGTGTTGCTGCTTCAAACACTTGTTTAAAAAGATCCATTTTGGCAATTATAAGTGAATGATGCTGCAGCCCAGCATCAAGTTCGTCACCCAGCTCATCAGCACAGCCACGCACAGGCTGAGTTCTGGACTGGACGCACAGGCTGAGTCCTGGTCTGGACTCACAGGATGAGTCCTGATCTGGACTCACAGGCTGAGTCCTGGAAGGCACGTGCTGGACATGACATTATGTTTCAGTGTGGTTCCAGAGCGAGATGGAAGATAAACTAACAGCAGCAGGCCAGCAGTGTGAAGAAAGAGAAGACAGCTCTTGAGATGCGGCCTTAGAGACTGCTCTGGAGAGAAAGGAACAGAGCACACAGCAGGAGACAGATTCCTTCCAAATAACTGAGGGACGAGGGTGGGAGTTGTTCGCGACTCTGATGAGGAAGATGGGGCTTGCTTTTATGAGAAAGGGCAGTAGAGCCCAGGTGTTGGAAACAGGTACAAGGCAGCGGCACTTTAATTCCCAGACCAAACTGATTTCAACTGGCCTGACTTCTGCCTCCTGTCTGTCTGGAACACTGGAAAACGGTTTTACCTTTAAGAGTAAGTTCAGACCGGCGCCGTGGCTCACTAGGCTAATCCTCCACCTTGCGACGCCGGCACACCAGGTTCTAGTCCCGGTCAGGGCGCCGGATTCTGTCCCGGTTGCCCCTCTTCCAGGCCAGCTCTCTGCTGTGGCCAGGGAGTGCAGTGGAGGATGGCCCAAGTGCTTGGGCCCTGCACCCCATGGGAGACCAGGATAAGTACCTGGCTCCTGGCTTCGGATCAGCAAGGTGTGCCGGCTGCAGTGCGCCGGCCGTGGCGGCCATTGGAGGGTGAACCAACGGCAAAGGAAGACCTTTCTGTCTGTCTCTCTCTCTCACTGTCCACTCTGCCTGTCAAAAAAATAAATAAATAAATAAATAAATAAATAAGTTCAGAGCTCAGAAGGCCATTGGAAGAAGACAAAGCAATTATCTTACAGATTTCTTTGCTGAACCTAAGGATATATGAGTACCATATTGCGTGATACTCATTGTACTGTAACTGCCTTAGAAAGGGAGTCCCTGGGCAGATAAACTCTCCATCCTGCTTTCATGTTCATAACACTGCTGGGCGGTTGATGGCCTGAGTTGGGTGATAGGAACTCCCATCGTTTTTTCTCTCTCTCACCCATATTGTGCAGCCTGTTTTGAGGAGCAAACGGATCCCATGACTTGGTTGCTAACTCGTCTGTGGATTGGAATCTCCTGGGCTTAATTTTTGGCTGCTTTTTGCCTGGAGGCTGAGGCCTTGCTGTTCATAGGGTTACCCATAGACTCTGTACTTTTCAACCTTAATTGAATCTTCTTTGCATTTCAATGCCTGCCAGCACCTTGGTTTCCTAGCCCAGTTGAGTCTCCTCCCTCCTAGATGCTTGCACTGCCCACTTTGCTTTATTGCTTGCCAACCACATTGATGTCACTGGGTAAGAATCATTGTGGGTTTTTTTTTTTTTTTTGCATGATCAAGAGAGATTGCCATCTAAGGTAAACTATATTCAAGTATAATGTAGCTATGTTGTGGTGCAATTTTGTCATTCTAAGGTTATTTTAACAACTTCTCTGCTTACTAAGTTCTAAACTAAATATTTTTCCTTCAGATAGTCATCTAACTCCAGAACAATCTGAATATCATAAAGTTTAGACTGTGTTTTAAAAACACTTTTGCCTTCACAGATGAGCAGATGTTTTTTGTTATGATTTTACCCCAGACTTTTACTACAGAACAAATGTGCTCTTAAGGAATGTTTTAAACACACAATATCACATACAGGTTATACTAACATTGAGGAGACGTGTCTTTGTTAAAGCAAACACTGATTTATATGAAAACTCGCAGTGGGAAGCATATAGTTTCCTTTTAATTTTATCAAAGTATAGAATAAAAAGCGTATAAGCATATTAAAACTTTTGACAAAGTATGATCAGTTTTGTAAAGAATAGAATAGGAATAATTGTGCGGATTTGATTGTGACTTTTGGACTTGTTGTTAGTACTCTTGCATTCTAACACTTATTTTTTTAATATTTATTTATTTTATTTGAAAGGCAGAGTTACAGGATGGCTGAGACAGAAAGAGAGGTCTTCCATCTGCTGGTTCACTCCCCAATTGGCCACAACGGCCAGAACTGAGCCGATCCAAAGCAGGGAGCCAGGAGCTTCTTCCAGGTCTCCCATGTGGGTGCAGGGGCCCAAGGACTTGGGCCAGCTTCTACTGCTTTCCCAGGCCACAGCGGAGAGCTGGGTCAGTAGTGGAGCAGCCAGGACTTGAACCAGCGCCCGTATGGGATTCCAGCCCTGCAGGCAGCTTTACTCGCTATGCCACAGCGCCAGCCCTGTCAACACTTATTTTTCTTAATCAGACAGTTATTGTGATGTTCACATATATTTTGGGTAATGTTTAGCAAATATATATATTTTTACTTAAAACTGTAGTTATGAATATATTTGTTGTATGAGTGGTAGTTGTCGCTCCCCCTCTTCGCGGAGGAACGACCGACACAGGACCCTGCGTTGTTCTTTCGTCTGCTCGGCCCTCCCCGGGTTTGCTGCTGGTTCTTCCCGGGTTGGCTACCGTCCCTCCACCTCCGTGGAGGGGCGGGCCCCCTGCCACTTTCCCCAATTCCGCAGGGGAGCGGCATACTGCCGGCCGGCTCTCTCGGGGGCTGCACAGGTGTTCCTTCAGATAGATGTTCCCCTTAGATGTTCCTGGTGCATGTTGTCTCTCTCCTCCTTTATAGTCCTCTTTCACCAATCCCAACTCTGCTACCCACACGCCGAGTACACTGCTCTCCTCCAATCAGGAGCAGGTCCTACAGTTTATTGGTTGAACTGGAGGCAGCTGTGTAGAAGCTGTTTCCTCCTCTCCCAGCGCCATATTGTGGGAGAGCGGATGCATAGAATAAGTCTTAATTCCAGTAACTTAGTCTAGTCCGAGTTGCTCCCAGTTGCTCCCCACAGTAGTCTCTGTTTTTACCCTCATAAATGACATTAACACAGAGTAATATTTTTCAGGTTCAATTCATTTGTGGCCATCCTTCAATTTATTTTTCTCCCTTTGTTATTTCAGCATGCTGTTTAAATTATCAGTAAAGTGTGATATTTTATCATCAACATTATATATACATTCAACTTAAAAAAGGTCTCCAGGTAATGTCTTTACCAAGTTCTTCCTCTGTCTTTAGTTTCAGAGAAACAGTGAGCCATAGCCCTTTCAATGCATACTTTAATTATTTTCAGTTAAATAATTTAATTTTTCTAGGAAGCAATAAGCCATTCCTCAAAGAGTAATAATAGAAGAAATAATAATTTAAGCAGAGGTGTTTTTTACTGCCAAGTAGTCACAAGCTTGTGATTACTAGTTGTTGATTATGAAATTTGAATTTAAAAGTGATTGTGTTTTAAACAAATCTATACATGACTTATCTAAACATAGAGGTCTCAAGTGGACATTACTGTCCAGTGGTTCTGTTTATTGAGTTATTCCAATTTGTGGATGTTTTATAGTAAATCTAAGTTCTGACAAGCACACATAATTGGATTACTTCAATTAATTCAATGATCAAGACACAATCTCATTTTTCAGAATGTTTTTAATAATAATAATACATTTCTGTAACTTAGGGTTTGAAGAAGCCATGAGACAGATAATACCAACTGAGCAAATTGATTTGCTATGATATGGCATTTACTAATGTTTAATGCTGCAAATGGTACAGGCTTTTCCATTAACAGTAGAGTAGGTTTGGTTTGCCTGATATTTTGAATTATTCTAAGATTGCCATTATGGAAACTGATAAGCTATCTCTACCTTTTTCCCATTTAACTCCATTTGCATTCTTACTCTTTAAAAATCACATTGTATCTTTAATTTTATTTATATGATGTATATGGCTAATTCTTGTATTTGAACCTCTAAATTAGCTTGCAAATGCTAAGTGCTTCATAAGTGGTTATCTATGTTAATTTTTTGAGAGGATGTATATTACATTATGTCTGCACTTCTAATCATGGGGGTTCTATCTCCTTCGTGAATATGAAGCATTGCTAATCGTTTCCTGTGTTCTGTAAAGACCTA